CTCTCTCTCTCTCTCTCTCTCTCTCTCTCTCTCTCTCTCTCAATCTTTCTATTTCTGTACATTGATATTGTAAAAGTAAATGCTCTGTATCTCTCCTTCAATTATACTTTCAGTCTCTTTTGCATAGAAATATGCATGCTGGATATTTCAAGCATGCCATAGGCCGCTTCAAAATTCATATTTTTCAAGGTGGAATTGCATCATGCAACACCTCCATGAAAGCATTTTTAATTATAAAAAAAAAAAAAAAAAAAAAAAAAACAAAAAGAAAGATGTAGAAAAAAGAAACATTTTTCATCCATTTTATGCATCAACTAATAATCAACTTCTATAAGAATGTAGTCCCTTCACCCAGAACTAATGTACCGTAGATTGCAATGTTTATGGTTCTATTTCCATTTTTGTTGCTCCTTGATTATCTAATACACCTGCTTCCTTAAGCTTGCGGACTCTATAAGCGTGGAATCTGGAAAAAATTATACAAACTATATAGTAAACTTTATATATACATTTAATGATTCATACAATTTTTAACTATTTGCGATAATATAATAGAATTTTATTTAAAAGTTGACATCAAGTAATATTAAGTAAATTAAAAGTTCCCTAAAATTGAAGAAGAGAGTATTTGAAGAAAAAAAAAAAAAAAAAAAAAATTTTTTTTGAACAATGTGTATAGAAAAGATAACTCAAAGGTGATAAATGCTTGAGCTAAAAAAAATCATAAGTTGATCAAGTTAAAAGTTGTTCACGTCTATACCAAAGTAACAATTTTGTATGTTATATACTGATTTTGATGAATTTAGTAATCAACTTACGGCATTGTTCAGTATGATAATAATTCAATGATCTCCTCTCAACAATTCCATCAACAAATTAAATGAGCTGCCTTCTCCTTCAGCACGTTTCGCACTTAACAATTCCTTTCCTGCCTGGCATGTTCTTTGTAAATCTGGAATTCTCAATAATAATTCACCAAACTTGGCAGGCATTTCCGGATACCTTCCTATAGTATATTGCTGTAGCGCTTGTAAAGCCTTTTCCTGAGATGCTCTAACTTTTTCAGGTTCTTTTAGTTCACTTGTATCAGAGGTTAACAGTACTATTACCTACAAACAATAAAATGTTAAATGTTATGATTAAAGTATGTTATGGTTTAAAATCACATTATTGATAAAATATCACTGTTGAAACATCATCACTGTGTATCATTACAAAGTTTATAGAAGAGACAAACGAAGGGAAAGTAATTACCTTCATTGCCACATATTCGTATTGATCTACTCGGAGCCTTCTCAAATTGTTAGTGAATGCAAGCATCCTCTCAATGCAGGTCGCCAAACCAAGCTGCCTAGCCTGTTCCAGTGTAATCGACTTGCCGAGAGACACTCTAATTTCACCGGGAGTGCTCATGCTGCGAAAACAGCATGAGAAGAGCAGTAGCTCGCACCAGGAATTAATTAACAAACAGATTTGATCATCGATTGAAATGTTCTTAAATAATGGCAAACTCTTGCACCATTTCACTATTTTATAGAGTCGATGGTCAGCGATGTTGCAGAGGTTTGACAAGAAATCAGGATGTTGAGTTGGATTACCATTGGTATTGTTAATTTGAGAATTGCTACTAATGGATGCAGCACATTGTTCGTTACCAACATTTGAAACACTAGAGCATGATCTGTCGTCTCTTCTGTTACTGGGATTGCCATTTCCTGTGGTTCCATTAGAGGAACACTCAACACTCGAATCTGTGTTGTCATTCTCTAGTCCAGATCCTCCGCTGCTTCTGACACCCAATAACGGGATTGTATCGTTATTTCTAGTCGGATTCATCCCTGCATTTTGAATCCCAGTCATGCGATCATTGTCATTGTAATGCCATAAATGTTCTACATCCATGATATCCTGTAGAAGTTGGGGTACCACTTGTACTTTATGCGAGTGGTTCGAGTGGTGTCTTGGCGGATAGTGATGTTCGTTACCAGCTGGAGCTGGGCTACAATTTCCTCCAGTAGTTAATTTATCGTTGGCGATGTTACTCGCGGGACTACCGACAAGACTTGCTGGAAGAGTATACGTACATTGGTACGTACTTCTACCACCCCTGGTGCGATCCTCTCTAATCGCCTCGAGCTTCATACCTATTCAATAATATTCAGTATTAAAAAGCAAATCCCTTTCCGTCTTCAATAACTTTAACTACACCAAATACATATACATCTGAGAGTATTCTAATCAAATTTTAATAATAAAATTTGATTAGAAAAAGCAAATGTTGCATCCACAATACACAAGAATTGAAGCTTGAAAATTCTTTAGGCTGGTTTTATAATTATAGAAAGATGTATTGCATCTCGATAATCGGCTAACTAATATATATACAGCTCGACTAAAAAATCAATTTATAAATTTTCATTCGTCTTACCCATATTGAGGCACTTGTCAAATCTACAGGCGGGGCATTTTTTCCTGGTAGCGACGGTGACTGGACAGCCCGCGCCTCTAAGGCACACATAATTCTTCCGATTCTGGACGGTGCGTTTAAAAAATCCCTTGCACGACTCGCACGAGAATATGCCGTAATGAAAACCGCTGATTTTGTCCCCGCAAATTGGACACGGGCTGTTGATCAATTGCTGTCTCGTGGATATTCCAGACGGTGCTGAAGGTATTCTGCAGTCTTCCTGATCGTCTGTAGCAGTGTGTCCTTCTGGAGATAGCTCGGAGCCCGGTGCAGAGGAGGAATAGTGATGAGCAATGACGGGAGAGGCGGTTGCTGGTAGATGGAGTGGACTTCCTTGAGCAACTTGATGCTGGTGATGTTGCGGATGTCTCGGTTGTTGAACGGGCGAGTGCGTGGGTGGACTAAGAGAGCCGTAGCTGTAGCAGCTGCTCGAGGCATCCGAATTGTTTCTCGAGAGCGAATGTGACAACGAGAGCGACAACGAAGAGGTCGAATTATTAAAACTGTGTCGCGACAAGGACAGCGACGAAGACGGGACCGGACTTCCCGTGCCTAGAGCGGAATGCCGAGCTGCGTGAGGACTTTGCGTTGGAGAACTGAACACGCTGTATGCGGAATGAATCGCCGAGTCCGGTGACGGCACCTTGAAAGTTTTAAAGATGTCAGAAAGCGTCAGACGGTACAAAGTGTCTCGAAGAGTCGAATTAAGTAAAGTAAAGTACATGTACCGATCTGTATTACCTGCGATCTCGTATGGCTATGCTTTGTTAAATGGTGTCTAGGATTCAACACCGGACTGTGATTTGGAGTTGAACTATTATAACCACCGAGTAACTTCCCTACGAGAAGAGGCAAGTCGTTTTGCTGCGTCTGCTCGAGATTCTCGATGTTGCGTTGCTGCTGTATTTGTTGGCCGTGAACCAGAGGTAATCCTGTCTCGTGAAAAGAACCAAACGTGAATCTTGGATTGGACTGAAAGTCTGGTTCTAGTTTTATCGGAAATTTTTGCTCCATTGGCCCCGGACTCGGGCCACACACTTGAACGCCCTCCATTGACGTATCCTCGTGAGTATCCTGCGATAAAACGAACATTTTCTAATCAACATCTATATAAAAATAATAGTATCAAAAGGCGAATTGGAATAATAGTATGGTATAACAAGTACAGTATTGTAAATGAGAGGACCGACTTGATAAGTTAGGTGACAAAACAAATACTTTTATTTAGAAAAAGAATATATATATTTTTTAATTACTTTGATAATAGCATGTACGAATATCTCTGGCCGTTGATTATTACTTGATATACACAATAAATGGCTGATCATTGTTTTTAAATTTGTAATATTAGAATCCAATGAAACGAACTTTGTCTATTGACGAATTTCTAAACTATGTATTTACGTATTGAACTTGATCCAGTCTCACTACCTACTACTGTGTGGTTTAGCATTGCCGAATTACAAACTCAGAGACAGACAAGTCACCGACAAGTCACACGTACTTGATTTGTAATTGTATTGGAAGACATTTCTTGGTCGGAAAGTTCCCCTTCCCACGACATGGGCCTCTCGGGTTGTTGTTGAGACGCGTCGTTCCCATCGTAACAGACGTTCCCATCTTCGACCTCTGCGTCGCCGATTTTCTCTCCGCTCTGGCTACCCGATACATCTCGTTTCTTCTTCGTACGCAAATTCACCCCTCGAAAGTCGATTTTGCTTATCTCGACGTCGCTGTCCTCCGCGTCGTCATCGGCCGTATTCTGGCTGAGGACGTTGACTCCAATTCCAATACTCTGCGTACCGGTGCTGCCGCCGGTAGTACCGGTGGGGCCAATTGCCGTCGTTGACGCGACATTCGCGTTCCCACACCCTAGTACGGATCCACAGCTCGACACCACGGATACTGTCACGCCGTTTTGTCCGGTAAGATACTTGCATATACCTTTGCCTGAAAATTTCGTCGGATGATGATTTTGTCAAACAAAGATAAATAAACGAAAGAAAATGATCGATCGTTGTTCATACAGTTTAGCTTTGGAGACAGAAGAGAAGAGAAGAGAAG